CTGCTGTGGGCGGAAGGGGAGGAGGAGGAGGAGGAAGATAAAGCAGCGGGGTGGTCCCTGCAGCCGCCCAAGCAGGGAAAGGGCGCTTTGGCAGGGGTTCCTCTCCGGAGAGGCGTTTTTTAAAAAGAAAAACCCTGCAGGCACCCAGCGACAGGGGCTAGGAACCCGGAAGTTAATTACTTCCGGGTTCACTGACGAACCGGATCGCAAGAACCGGTGCGAACCGGGAGGAACCCACCCCTGAATTGCCTATCTAAAAAACAAATGATACAGAGAACAAGAGATAATCATGGCCATCTTTGAAACTAGTGGTTGCTATTAAAAAAAATAATAAATTCAAGCTCTATTCCACATATGATCACCTATTGGTAGTTATACAGTAGAATCATGAATTAAAAGTTCCTACTGGGCCAGATTCTTAATATTAAGTCAATTATATATGTTAAAATACACATTAGCTTTTGTAGCCCATTTTCAGGATAATTTAGAATCTTTTGGGGAAAGAGATTTTTTAAGCTTCTTTTATTATTGTGAGGGGATGGGCATTGGTATCTAATGTCTCCAGTCCTACAAAATTGTTTAATTCCCTTTTTTCATAGCCAATCTATGGCGCAGTGATTAGCATGCAGTATTGCAGGCTACTTCTGCTGGCTGCCAGCTGCCTACAATTTGGCACTTCAAATTTCACCAGGCTCAAGGTTGACTCAGCCTTCCATCCTTCGAGGTGGGTAAAATGAGAACCCAAATTGTTGGGAGCAATATGCTGACTCTGTAAATCACTTAGAGAGGGCTGTAAAGCACTGTAAAGCAGTATATAAGTCTAGGTGCTATTGCTATTTACTGAAAGACAAACACCATCACATTTTATTTTTTCATTACTACCAATCTTGTTACTGATCATAATTCTGCTTGCCTTGTTTAATCTTAATCTAATGTCTACTCTACATGGTAGAAATATTTAAATTGAGCAGTTATGGTTTCTGCCAAATAAACCTGAGATATTACATTCATGGTGTAACAAGAAGCTTGTGCTCAGCATTCAACTGCACAGAGTTGAGTTTGTTTGTGTTTGTTTCTGTATGAAAGTATTTATTAGATGTTTATCTGCCACAATTAGGAGATAGTACTTCATTGGCTGAAACATACAGCTAGTTTTTTTAAAGGTATACACCAGGTGAAGCTTATCATGAAACTACTTGTTAGATAAGCTACACTCTTGAAGTTTGCTGTAGTGTATCAATATAATTATTTTTATTTTCTTGATGACTGTGGATGAGAAGATACAGGGCAGATAAAATTGTTAATCCAAATTTTAAGCTGGCAGTATTGTTACAGAGACATATATTTTAATAAGCGGGTTGCTAGTCTCTCAGCCATTTTAAACTGGGAATTTCTGTTGAGTAGGAAAAAAAACAGGAAGTAGGTTGGATGAAAAAATTATCAGCATATGATTCACTTGGAATTACATAAGACTTTGTGTCCTCATAATCTACAATCCATTTATTGTATACAAGCATTTTGTTTTGAGATGACTGACTATAATGGGCATATAATAAATATATTTTCAAGTATCAGCATATCAGTTTATTTCTATTAGTTTATTTCTATTAATTTACCATGTAGAATATAGATAATTTCTCTTAATAACATTATGTAGTGACAGTTCAGGTTTTATTGAACCAAAACTCTCTGTGTGGCAAGCACATTAGAAAAATTATTACAATAACCCTTTCCTACAAAACTACGTTACATTCTTTTGTTTTCCCTTCCTTATCAATGTAACCTGTCCTCAGTCCTTACCGAAGATATTGTGGTATTAATGATAAAAACACGGGTCTTTTTTCTGTATAAATCTCCTGCTTATCTGTAAATCTATCTGCTAATTTTAGTAAATTGTTCTGTGGAATGGTATAGAAAGGGACTGGGAGGAAAGGAAAAATCTATAAGCTTTCAGATGCATCTTTCCTCTGGGAGCCATTTTATAGGAATTTCCATCTCTTCCATTAAGGAGAATATCTGGGATTTTTATTGACTAAGAAGAGTATGGTCCCAAACAGGTGCCCATTCACTGAATGACTACTATAATGAATGTGGTTGGTCACAAGGCACGCATTTCATAAACTAGTAAATTGGTGGCAGCAATACAAGCAACCTGCCTAAGAAACTGAAAAAGTGGATCATATCACAAAGCACATGGGTTTTTTTTCTTCCTTAGGAATGCTCTACACGCACAACTTCCTTTCTCATTCCATCCCTGGAGAATGTATTATTTGCATATAAATCTTACCTAGTTATACAAGACAGTGGTTCACTTTGAAGCACTACAGACTATCCGGGTTTGGTATTCACAAGCAAGATAAAAGTTTCTGTCAAGGGGAAACTATCTGCAAGCAAGCAATAACATCTCAAAAAAATTGTAAAGGAAATCCTAGAAAATGTCCATTGTCAGGGTTCCAAGTAAGACCCCCAACGAAAGAACCACAGTTGAGTCAAAAATAAAACTTGGGAGAAGCATCAATTTCTGCCTGGAAATGTCTAGTTTCTGGTTGCATCAGGACTCATCAAAGGATTCTGAAACAATACTTGAAAAATTCATTTGAGCTTGAGCTGATTCTTTGAAACTATCTTCATACATAAATCTTACTGTTACATAGTCTGGGACAAAAAGAATCCATAATATTATTCAGAATTTGAAATAAAAATATTTATGATTGTTTTTTCTCAATTAAAGGTGAGCACTTACAATTAAGCAAATAAAATGCATTGGTAAGCAAATATGTCTTTCTTATGGAAAGGACTTTACTAACTAAATAATGATTCTGTTTTGGATTTATTAAGATATTAGTTCTTATACATGTCTATGTTTATAGAAAATCAATTGTTGACCCTGATGACCCAAGGTGTACCAGGCTAACTTTTATTGGAAAGATGGTTACAGTGCCTCCAGAAGAACTGGAATCTGCCAAGCAAGCTCTGTTTTCTAGGTCTGTATGAATCTATTGTTATCCTCTGAAGTGTGTCTGGTGGAAAGGGGGAGAGAATATAAAATAAGCATTTGGAATATTATTGGAAAATATAAGCACTGTGTTCCTTAATACCAAAAAGTCTTGGGAAGAAATTTCTTACTAATCAGATTGTATAGGTAGTCCTTAACCTATGATCACAATTGAGCCCAGAATTTTTGTTGCTAAGCAAGGCAATCGTTAAGTGAATTTCACCCACTTTTATGACCTTTTTTGCCACAGTTGTTAAGAAAATCATTGCAGTTGTTAAATGAATCACCCAAATCTTAAGTGACTCTGGCTTCTCCCATTGACTTTGCTTGTTTGAAGCTCAAGTGGCAATTATGTGACCCCAAAACTGTTGTAAACACATGCCAATTGTCAAGTGCCTGAATTTTAATCATGTGACCATGGAAATGCTGCAAAAGTTAATAAGTGCAAGGATCGCATGATTCAGCCTCATTGTAACTTTGAATAGTCACTAAACGAATGGTTACAAGTAAAAGTCTACCTGTAATTGAAAGCAAAAATTCATTCCAGCCATTATTAAGCTCTTTTAAATTCCTTTGGCCAAAAATTCAGTTCTCCTAATGATATCACAAGTTCAGCATGAGGAAATAATAAATAACAAAGTAAGTGACCAAACTAAATATTTTTTCTTACTCTGAGATAGCTCTGTTTTAAGATTATCAAAATTAAACTGTCCAAAGATTGAATTTGCTAGACCCTGTGACATACATTATTTCTATTTATTCTTCAGTTTTTCTTTGCATGCATCCCATATTATAATAGAAGTAGAATAACTGTTTTTAGTTCCTTCCCTCCATTCTTTCCAAGCCATGACATGATATAAGTATGGATATGTAGTTGAATAAAATGAAAAGCAAAAAGGATCCATTTTCAAGAGACATTATGCAATGATTAGCCAATAGAATTTGACGAATCTTGCCGTTCAAACAATCACTGTTTAAAGGTTCACTGTTGTATTTTCTAAATATATTATTCTAAATATTCTAAATATAAAATTTAACTGCTACTAAGTCATAGACAAATCTATAAAATAATGTCAGCCAATCATTTCTAGCTGTTTGGTTGTTCTTCCAGGCACCCCATAATGAGAAAATGGCCTCGCAATTATGAATGGTTCTTTATGAAAATGAATATTGAACATATATGGCTACAGGACTGGTATGGAGGAATTACAATTATTACTTTGGAGGAATATTTCAAAGCAGTTCCTAGTGAAACATAATTGAATTTTTAAGTATGAGAATTCAGCATTCATTCAGAACAAAGAGTTTTATATACTAGGTTATCGGGTATTTATTTAATATTTTTGTGCAAAGTTTTGAATGTGGCTCCATGTTAACTGAAGCAAAATTACTTTTGAACGTTAGAAAAAAAGCTGCAGATGTTAAACAGTCTGGAGACAGATCATACTAAGTTATTGTTTAAGATGTTTTGAATACTTTTGGATTTTTATAAATACGAATCTCACACGATCTATTGAAATAATACAATCTAAAACTAGGCAGAAATTCCAAACCTATATGTAATGAGTGGTATAATGATTGATATATTAATGTCCCTAACTGCTTGTAATCAAATATCTAATAATATATTTTATATATGTTGCATTTTAATTAAATGTATATTACAGATTTAATTTTTCCATAGCTACAGGTTTATCTTTTAAATGATTTAGAAAGAGCTTTATGAAAAAAAATAGAAAAGCTAAGATCTGAAACTTTCCAGAAATGATTAGATAATTTACTTCACTTCATTATCTCAGACTAACAAATACAGCTGGCAGTTATTGTTCTGCATGTAAATATTAAGCTATTGTACAAAACCCTTACTTCTCAGAACTTCCTTGCTTCAGGAAAAAGAGATCTGAAGTTATTACTTCATTTCCAATATGATATTTTTGCTATTGTTTAAGTCTGAATAAGCTACAGAGTGTGTTAACAATACTCAGTGTTAACTGTGAATTTTAAATAATGGTTTATGTTTATTTATTTATTTAATTGATTGATTGATTGATCAATCGATTTATTGACTTGTATCCGTCCATTTTACATTTGTGAGTTCGGAAGGTGACCAAGAAAAATTATAAATGAAAACATTAGCTAGCTGATCATTTAAAACCAGCACTAAAATTTAAGCTGTAATCAACTAAATTTTTGATACAATATGAATCATTAGAAATATTGATTCCAGGAGTAGAGGCCAAGCACAATTTATGGGGAATTGTGGGAAATAAACAAAAGGCCATTTCCTGCATGACAGAAAGATAAACCAGCGGGAATATCTTCAAGAAGGCTATTCCTGCTGGTCCCTTTTTAATATGCATGATAATATTTTTATTTTATTTATTTAGTTTGTCACTCATGTACAAAATAACAGGAATAAGAATAAACATGAATAACAACACTAGGAAATGGGTACAAATAAATGGGGACAGTACTACAGGGACATTAGGCATGCCAGTGCGCTTATGCACAATTATACATAACAGGGCAAGTGTTACATTACAGAGGAAGGCCCTGAGCTGTTTAGGATTTATAGGACAATTTCAACACTTTAAAGCACTGGCAACCAATGTAGATCTTTCACTAAAGGTGTTGTGTGATTCTGGTATCTTGACAACATTCTAGCAACCATATTTGTATCAGTGCAGTACTAGTTCTCTTTTTAATTTGCAGTTCTATTTTTTCAAGAATTGCCCACTATTGTGTACTGTACTAGTTGAGATGGGACACAATCAAGGCACAAAATTTCAACTCCAATCCTAGTGGCTCATGAATTGTTATGGCTGACATAACAGGTGTTTCATTGTGAAAAAGCATTCCTCACTGTAGCAGGTTTTAAATCAAATGCCTACAAACTTAAGACAGCTAAAACTGAGCAAATCCTCCCACATTACAAATTTAGTCTCTTGGAGAAGTGTAGCCCTGTCATTTGGACACAATGAGATAATACACATAATTAAAAATAGAAGTCTAAGCTTTGTCATTGAATTCCCAGAGACCTGAATAGAGAAGAGGTATCGTACCAGGTGAGTCTAAAACTCTCATATAAATTAAACCTTCAACACAGCCAAGTTGAAGATATTACTAGCCCACAATAAGGCATTCCTCTTTTTTATGCTGATGTTTTAAAATGTCAAAAAACAAGCCCTTTTTAAAAATTAAGGGATAATTTGTTTTATTTTGGGACCAGTTAATATAGAACAGTATCGAGCCTTTTTGACACTGGGTGCTGAAATGGGGGTGCATGCATGTGTGTCAGAAACCAGGGAGCAGCCATCCGGTGCGCATGCATGCACTGGGGAAATGATGTTCAGATTTCCGGCACATGCATGTAACCCGGCCACCTGGTTTTCCGGTTTCTGGTGCGCATGCTTGCATGAAGACTAGCTGGCTGGTGCGCATGTATGCAGAAGAAACCAGATCATCTTTCTGGTGGCTGCTCTTCCGGTTTCTGGTGCTTCTGCGTGCGTGAAGACCAGTTGACCGGCACGCCAGAACACGGAAGAGCAATGAGCAACAGCTCATGTGCTCAGAGAGATGGCTCTGCGTGCCACTTCCAGCACGCGTGCCATAAGTTTGCCATCACGGATATAGAACAGACTAGACATTCTTAAAGAACCTCTGTAATATAATTTATAATTCCTGCATCACCTGATATGTGGAATTGGTTGTAGAGCCAGACCAGTTTCAAGTGTACATATTTCTCCTACACCTCCCAAGTGTGATTTATTACATTTATAACATCTTTTCATACTGCAACATTATGTTCATGATGATCAGAACTGACAATGGGTTGTTACATCTAGAAATGTTCTAAATTATATATATTTAGCTATTTTATTTTGCTTATATCCAAGAGGTCAATGGAAATTTGTAAATTCATTACGCCCCATAGTAAATTTCAGATGGCTTTTCTGTACTGGAATTATTATTTTAAGATGCCATATGGCAAGCAAAAGATGGATCAATAGATTTTATTCTTATTTATGAAGAATAGTAAAATATTGTAATGTGCATGCACTCATTGTTCAGAGTAAAACAGAATGACATGTGTTGGTTTGATTGTGCTTCACTAGTACTGTATATTGAAAGTGATGCATTTTTGTGTGTGATATCATGTATTTTTATAGTGATAAACAAAGGACATCATCAAGTTGCTCTTAAGAATTCCATTCAGATCTATCATACCAAATACTAGATCAATCAAAAACAATCCAGCATGATCATGCATTAAACAAATGATTTTCAATCACAAAACAAGAATACTTTTGGAAGAGCAAGATAAATCTTTTAACATGGCATAGAAGATTGTGTTTGTCAATTATTTTATATACAGCATTATACAACAGATCTTTAGCAATGGTATAATTACTGTAAATAGCACAATATTAATTTATACCCCAAATTTGATGTGATTTAACTATTCTGAGTTGTCTTTATATTTTGTAAAAATGTCATGGTAACTCACACAAATATGGCTTTCATAGTGCCAAGATAAGAGCAACACATATGCCTTCAATTACCTGTTGGAGGTACATTCTATTTGCATATGGGCAACACAGGATTTATGTGGTTTGTTAACAGCAAAGTGAGTTTGGCCCAGAAATATTTTGGGAGGTGTTTCAATAGTTTTGAAAGAGAAATAGGGGCCTTAAACATCTGTAATGTGCAAAGAATATATTTTGCTTCCTCACCTTCCCATATGCAAAGTTTGGGTCCTTTATACTTTGCAAGCATTAGGAAATATAAAAGAACTACTAAAGGTAGGAGTCCGACTCCACTAATCATTGTCAAGTCTAGGGGGCAGTGCTCATCTGTTTCAAGGTCATTGGACCAGCACTGTCCAAAGACATTTCTGTGGTCATGTGGCCAGAATGACATCATGGATCATTGGAGCACTGTTACCTTCCCATTGAAATGGTGCCTATTGATCTACTTGCATTTGTATGCTTTTGAACTGTTAGGCTGGCAGGAGCTAAGGTGAGGACAAGAGCTCATCCTGTCATGTGGAGCTCAGGTCTGGAACCTAGCTACTACCTTTCCAGCTGAGAAGCTCAGTGTCTTAATCTCTGAGCCACCATGCCACCTGCTAATGAATGATTTGTTTATTTATTCATTTGTTTACTTAATTTATCAATTTTAGAGATTTAGCGACTGTCCATCTCTCAGAGCCATTCTTTTTGGACCAGTGGTGGAGGCATTTCCCCCACTTCAATTGAAGGTTGCATCCATCCTCATAAAGCTTTCCACCTTAAGGAGATTCCCATTTTGTTTTTATAATATCTATTAAAATAAGAAGTCAGAATAAATGTTTGCTAAACTCCTCAGTGAGATTTTCTTCAGCTAAACATTTCCCTAGTTGTGATTTAGTGATTTTTATAAAATTTCCTATGGAGATCTTAATCTTGTTGATTTTGACTGGCAAAGTAAAATTATTATGTATTCAATCATAAAAAGGGTATTCAGAATCAGAGACTTCACTTGTACAGTATTTTAATATACTTATATTTTCTCTGATATTAATATTTCAAAGTCTAGCAGGCATTAAGATCTCTTTTTAACAAAACAGCTCCATAATAACCATATTTTATATCTGCTATATCTTTGGTGAAAAAGAATTTAAAAATATAATTTCAACTCCATATAATTACACAATGAGTAATATAGTACTTGTGGGAGAACTAAGCATTGTTTTATGTGCAACTTTACCAAAGAATGTCAAAGTATTTTCCTCAACTGGATAAAAATATTTTCTTTTTTTGCCCTACTTGTGCATTTGCACTTATGAATGACTTATCATTGTAACACACTTATCAAACATTATATGTTAATAAAATCAAATATTAATAAAATAAAGTACTAATGGAAATGGCAATTATAATAATTATTGCCTGGTGTAATGTATGAACTCAGCCATTTATCTTTTAAGTCCAACTATTTTTTCCAGTAGTACTGTATATACTTTGACTTGGAAATCTGATAATTGTAATCACAATTCAAGATCATTGAAAAATAAAAGTTAAGATGATTAAGTGCCAAAAGCAGGCATGCAATGTAAAAACAAGAAAACAATAAATGAGGGTATAGTATCATAATCTTATATGGTATTTTTTTCATAAAAGCAAAAAAAAAAAAGCATGCAGCCTTGAACATACTTGTGGTATTTTCTTTACATATGTAATCATTTATACTTGCTTCCTTTTAATGTAACTTAACTACAAACTTTCAATGTGACAAGAGCAAGTCAGTTTCAAAACAGAAAATGCAAAGCCTGTCCTCAGAGTTGTAAAAAAATAGATCTATCATAGCTTTAAGAATGTGAAGATTCAAAAAGGGTTGGGAGAGGGGGAAAAATTTATGCTTGATGAAAAATGTTGTCACGTGTGTACCAAGATTTTCAAATGATTTAATTATGTCTGCAATTAAGCCCCAAATCAACTTTTCTACAAAATCTAGCTTCCAATCAAAAACTGAAAGGGTGGAACGAATAGGGATCTTAGTGTAATTCAGTAATTATTATCCTCGGCAAGTTTATATGTATGGACTTCAACTGCTAGAATTCATCAGTTTAGTTACATTTAAATTTTCCTAGGTTGAGAAACACCAGCGTAATTCTTGAAAGTGCTGCCGAAATAAAGCCCTGCTAACGAATAAAAAAGCTTTCACGAGGAACCTGGCCTTCTTAAAGGCTCGCTTTAATAGAGGCTCTTTCACGCATCGAAATGTAACTCTGGACTCTAAAACAGGAAAAAAGCATCTCTCTCTCTCTCACACACACACACAGAGGCAGGCTTCGTCCCACGCTTTTTCTCCAGAAAGAGGCCTTTTTTTTCTAGCCGGCTTGCTCTACGGCAGGGGTGGGAACTGCTACGGACCTTTTACGATCTGTGCACTTCAACTCCCAGAATTGAATTGAATGGCATGGCTGGGTCAGGAATTCTGGGAGGTGAAGTTCACAGACCGTAAAGGGTAGTTCTCCACCCCTGCTCTATGGGGAAAGACTTAAGAGGCTTGAATCGTAGGCCAAGATGGAAAAGCACGACTAGAGTCTCGAGTTGGAAGCAAGACGTGTAAGTAGCGTTCGGGGTCGGAATCCTGAGTC